AGTAGAAAGAAGTCACACTTGACTGCTAAAATTGCCATTCTTAATGAGCTATGTTTGAAGAGGAATTCTGAATACCTTACAAAATATAGAACATATAAATATATTATGGATGTAGATTCACAATAGTCTGCATCGAAGTTCCACAAAGAGGTAACAATAGAAAGAAGTCACACTTAACTGCTAAAATGGCCAGTCCTAATAAGCAATGTTTAAAAAAGAAGTCTGAATACCTTACAAAATATAGAACATATAAATATCTTATGGATGTAGATTCACAATAGTCTGCAACGAAGATCCACAAAGAGATAACAAAAGAAAGAAATCACACTTGACTGCTAAAATTGGCAGTCTTATAAGCAATGTTTGAAGAGAAAATCTGAATACCTTACAAAATATAGAACATATAAATATATTATGGATGTAGATTCACAATAGTCTGCAGCGAAGATCCACAAAGAGGTAGCTATGGAAGCAATCACACTGGACTGTTAAGGTCGCCAGTCTTAATAAGCAATGTTTCAAAAAGAAGTCTGAATACCTTAGAAACTATATAAAAAATCAATATCTTACGGAATTAGATTCACGACAGTCTGCAGTGAAGATCCACAAAGAGGTAACAATAGAAAGAAATCACACTTGACTGCTAAAATGGCCAGTCTTAATAAGCAATGTTTGAAGAGGAAGTATGATTACCTTACAACTATACAACATAACAATATCTTACGTAATTAGATTCACGACAGTCTGCAGCGAAGTTCCACAAAGAGGTAACAATAGAAAGAAGTCACACTTAACTGCTAAAATGGCCAGTCCTAATAAGCAATGCTTAAAAAAGAAGTCTGAATACCTTACAAAATATAGAACATATAAATATCTTATGGATGTAGATTCACAATAGTCTGCAGCGAAGATCCACAAAGAGGTAACAAAAGAAAGAAATCACACTTGACTGCTAAAATTGGCAGTCTTATAAGCAATGTTTGAAGAGGAAATCTGAATACCTTACAAAATATAGAACATAACTAGTCAGGTCATAAGTATTGATTAGGATATGGCCTAGGTCTGTCGACTTACCGTGAATCGTCCCGCAACCACATCCGAAGGTCCTGGTCGAGGATGAGTATTGCCGACAGAATCAGTTCATCTATCCTTCACATGTAGAAAGTCATAGGTCACTGTCACTATTTTCCAGTTTTTTATATGAAAGGGGGAACTTTATTTAAATATAATGCGCGTGCCGATGCGGCTACNCGATAGACGACTGGCCGCGCAGATTGAAGGCCTGTATTCAAAATCACGGAGGTCATTTTGAATAAACTTTAGTGTCATAAGAATCTATGTTTTGTTAAGTTCATTTTGGTATATGAATGGTTACATAATGAATAAACTTGTTTCAATTATTTTACATTAAACATGTGACAGAATTTATGACCTGACTAGGTATAAATATATTACGGAAGTAGATTCACAACAGTCTGCAGCGAAGATCCACAAAGAGGTAACAATAGAAAGAAGTCACACTTGACTGCTAAAATTGCTAGTCTTAATAAGCTATGTTTGAAAAAGAAGTCTGAATACTTTAGAAACTATACAACATAACAATATAAATATCTTACGGAAGTAGATTCACAACAGTCTGCAGCGAAGATCTACAAAGAGGTAACAATGGAAGCAATCACACTGGACTGTTAAGGTCGCCAGTCTTAATAAGCAATTTTTCAGAAAGAAGTCTGAATACCTTAGAAACTATATAAAAAAACAATATCTTACAGAATTAGATTCACAACAGTCTGCAGCGAAGATCCACAAAGAGGTAACAAAAGAAAGAAGTCACACTTGACTGCTAAAATGGCCAGTTTTAATAAGCTATGTTTAAAGAGGAAGTCTGAATACCTTAGAAACTTTACAATATAAATATCTTACGGAAGTAGATTCACAACAGTCTGCAGCGAAGATCTACAAAGAGGTAACAATGGAAGCAATCACACTGGACTATTAAGGTCGCCAGTCTTAATAAGCAATGTTTGAAAAAGAAGTCTGAATACTTTAGAAACTATATAAAATAACAATATAAATATCTTACGGAGGTTAATTCACAACAGTCTGCATCGAAGATCCACAAAGAGGTAACAATAGAAGGAGTCACACATGACTGCTAAAATTGCCAGTCCTAATAAGCAATGTTTGAAAAAGAAGTCTGAATACCCAAGAAACTATAAATAAATAAATAAATAAATAAATATCTTACGGAAGTAGATTCACAATAGTCTGCAGCGAAGATCTACAAAGAGGTAACAATGGAAGCAATCACACTGGACTGTTAAGGTCGCTAGTCTTAATAAGCAATGTTTGAAAAAGAAGTCTGAATACTTTAGAAACTATATAACATAACAATATAAATATCTTACGGAGGTTGATTCACAACAGTCTGCAGCGAAGATCTACAAAGAGGTAATAATGGAAGCAATCACACTGGACTGTTAAGGTCGCCAGTCTTAATAAGCAATTTTTCAAAAAGAATACTGAATACCATAGAAACTATATAAAATATCAATATCTTACGAGATTAGATTCACAAAAGTCTGCAGCGACGATCCAAATAGAGGTAATAATAGAAAAAAGTCACACTTGACTGCTAAAATTGCCAGTCTTAATGAGCTATGTTTGAAGAGGAATTCTGAATACCTTACAAAATATAGAACATATAAATATATTATGGATGTAGATTCACAATAGTCTGCAGCGAAGATCCACAAAGAGGTAGCTATGGAAGCAATCACTCTGGACTGTTAAGGTCGCCAGTCTTAATAAGCAATTTTTCAAAAAGAAGTCTGAATACCATAGAAACTATATAAAATATCAATATCTTACGGAATTAGATTCACGACAGTCTGCAGCGAAGATCCACAAAGAGGTAACAATAGAAAGAAATCACACTTGACTGCTAAAATGGCCAGTCTTATAAGCAATGTTTGAAGAGGAAATCTGAATACCTTAGAAACTATACAACATAACAACATAAATATCTTACGGAAGTAGATTCACAACAGTCTGCAGCGAAGATCCACAAAGAGGTAACAATGGAAGCAATCACACTTGACTGCTAAAGTAGCAAGTCCTAATAAGAAATGTTTGAAGAGGAAGTCTGAATACTTTAGAAATTATGACGCACTAACCGTATTCGTGTCTTTTAATGCGTAAATTAAAATAAATAAACTTTATTTATTAATAAAAATCTTTATTTTATTTTCCTCAATCGTTGTTTTCCAAGAAAATCAGTATTATCACATTAGTAACTTAAACGGAGATCTTCATCAATTCTCTCCTACTTTGGAGTGTAATATTATTTATGTCTTCTAGACCAAAAAAATATATATATTACGCATGGCACGACAAATTCGGGTCATATCATACAGAAATATAACGATAAAAGATGAATTTATTAATACCATCGTATTGTTACTTAATGAACTCGTGATAAGCATTTGGTAATAGTAATTTCCAATTTCGTTAAAAAAATATCCATTCAAACATCAACAATAAAAAAAAACATCTAGTACCATTGGTCAATTAGCTAACTCGTCGAATGCGAGAAAACGTTCGACTTGCAATTTAACAGACACAGCTAACTGAGTTTGCCGCCGGATTTTCGCAGTGAGTGGCGGTTTCGATCCAGTGATACATTCATTTTTGTAAATAATTGTTTTTTGCTAATTAGTTAGCTCGCTCACCAGTCAGGATAAAGCCCAAATTGCGTCTCGAAGGTACTGATGGATAGGCAAACAAATCATTGATTGGAGTGCACCGAACATCATCCTATATCTACAGACAGTGCATTCCCACATACCCCTGGTCCAAAAAAATATATGCATATAGAATAAGATGCCCAGTGTACTTGTGGCGACTTACTTACCGCCACTACTTGGGCAGTCGCCTTAGAATTTGAAAAAAATCGCTGTCGCTCGTGATTTTAGGCCATCATCCATTTATTGTTATTCAAAACACGTTCGGGGATACTTCGATAATCTTGTGAGCTGCGGGCAGTACATATTCATACTCACTGTGCTACCCATCCTTCGTGTCAGTGCCTACCCAATACAGTTACTGAAGCAGCACTACTACTACTGCTTCTACACACTAAAATCGATCTGTGCGACTATGCCAGTACTTGGTACCTAACAGACAGGTACTAACATTTCTTAATTCACATTCACGTTGGAATTCCACGATTATTCCTTAATTTTTATGCATTCAAAATCAACCCAGCAAAGAATTGTGATTTTCAAAATTACGATGCAATTGAGATATAAACCATAAGTTTGTGGGCTGTATTCCGGCCATGATGTATATATAATATGGTCTTCGAAAGCTGTGTCCGTGAGCGCGTTAACCTGTCTACACTGCTAAAAAGCTTCAGGGTTGTTCTAAATATAAGACGTACCTCATAAAACGGGATTCTTGTGAGGGGTCTCGGCTCCGGGCCCAAAAGAAATTCGGCATGGAATAAATAAAACATGAAATGATAGCTCCGAAGTATTTATACATAGTTTGAGTGCAAAATAATATTTTGAATATATTCCCCACAAAAAAAAAACAAAAAAGTGCAAAACAGATTATTTTATTTAAATTAAAAATATTACAAATTTCCCCTAAGCCTTTGTCCGTATCATCTAGAATTTCTATTGAAAACATGCGTGGAATTACAAAACAGCTGCATAGCATTTTTTTTGAATTATTAATTGACAATATTTTTATAACAATTACAATTTTTCAAGGAATAAAATATGACTTATATTTAAATAGAACATGATACCGTAGAAGAAGATGGTTCCGACGAGTGTCTCAGAATTTGTAAATTTTAAGGTAAAATATTGATTACATTTTATTTACATTCCTTTTCAATTAAATAACACATTTCTCAGGTAAAGAGATTCCTTAGAAATACGTATATAAACTAAAAATTGTTCTTGTCTGCCAAGAATGGATTCAGTTTTACGCTTTCAACAACTCATCGGTGCTAACGGAGAAACGCTAAACGGTGGCATCACGTAATTTGCCAACAGAATATTGTCAACTTTAAAGTTTCTGTCGAATTTTACGCAATTCGGTCCCATCATAATTCCACTTTGCAGCACTGGCGCAACCGGTACAGTCCACTTCTCTTCCCTCGCTTTCAGTTCTGACATTCCCGTCTCATAGTCGCACAGCCATCGGCGAACCTATTTGTGAGAATGCAGATTTGTATTTGTTTCGGAATTTATTTATGATTGAAAGATTACTGGTGGCCCGGAGGCCTTTCCAGTTTCGCCAGGACAGGTGGGCGAGCAAAGGCTCAGCCAGGAGAGGTGGGATTTGCTAACAACTGCCCGAGCGCCTCCGAAGAAGACCTAACAACTCAAGAGCAATTGCTTCGCAAATGAATCTACTACCGGATCGGAATCGCGACCCACTGAGAAGCTCCGGCGAAAAACTCAGTGGCCTGAGGCATGGGTTAAGTCGTTTCGGAATTCTGATTTGTCAATTTGAATCAAACTATAACATCGTCGCTGTCAAACCAAAATCTGCTATGTGCAAAAACTCTATTTTGAATTAACGAGTAAAAACATTAACGTATAAACATTTATATGAAGGTGAATTTTTAAGAACTTATATCAAATGAAAGCTATAGATAAATATTAAAGCTATAGACACAGTACAGTTTTTTTTTATACGGTAGATAGGGCTGTGAACTATACGAAAAGGTCAAAAAGTAAAAATCTCAACAAGTGCACATAGCAGATTTTGGTTTGACAACGACTATATACCAGATATTGTACTAAACACATATAGGTAAGGATATTTTTCGTAGAGTCGCTCTCGGAGGAAATGCCGGTACAAGAATCAATTAAAAGCCTTAGAGTCACAGTCCAAATGGTCTCAAGCAGCTACCGGAGGAGCCCTTAAATATCACAACGGGAATGTCTCCACCTATTTTGAAACATGAGGTCGGAGTATGAATTGTATTAAAAACTTTATAATATTCGATTACAGTCTAAGTCAATTGAACCTTTTTACTGGTAGAAAGTAGTACGTCTTGTGAATCCGTACGGGTTGCCACGGAACAGTAATGCGTACCGGTTTGAAGACTGGAACAGCCGTTATAATTTACAATTGAGATTTAGACCTCATGTCTCAAGGTGGGAGGCGGCATCCACGTAGTTATGGACTCCGGTAACCACTTAACAACAGGAAGGCCCTGAGTTCAATAACTCACACAAAAAAAAGTTCAAAAATCAAATTCACTTTAACTATATTCACTGTCATTATAACTTACATTGTCGTCTTTTTCATTATTTGTTTTTATTCTCTTGTTCTTTATCTTTATTTGCTCACGAGCGGCTATTGTTTTTCTCAAAATATTATACACAATTCTGGAAAGACACTGAACTATTATCGACATTTTGATCAATATTATTTCACTAGGTCCGAGCAAAGCAGCAGTCGAAGCAGTTGTGATTTTAATTTTAATATTTCCACCCATTTATACAATTCTAAATGGCTCATAACTTAATGGTGTTAAAGGAAATACATTTTTCGCCATTAACACTTTCCGTCGCTACCGTCATTACTTAATTAGTTCATTTGAAAAAGATATGCTTGTAAGACCCGTGAAAAGATTCCAGGTACCTATATAGGTAAAAGAATGGTTTCCTTTAAAAGTACCTAAAAAACCTAAAACCGATACAATACGTAATAAAATTGCTACCCTATTTTTTTTTGCAGTACGAATAAAAATTCACTATTCTAATCCTGTTTTAACAAAGCCTCGTAGCTGGTACTTGTACTAACGAATAACTGGCATATCTAAAGAAATTATTTTAAATAAATACTAGGATTTTTTTACGTTTCCTTAGAAGTCTACGTTTTTCAAAGTAGAAAGTTTAGAAAATATTGTTCAAGACCCATAACCAGATTCTCAGATATGACAAAAAGAACAAAATATTAACTAGCGTGCTATTTGAATAGTAGATTATATTTGTATGAGAAATATGAATTCACTTAATGGTACTATTCGATTAGCTAAATTTGTTGTTAAATTAATAAATTAATAAAGTCCAGAATCCTTTATCGGAATCTGTTAAATGGGTCTGAGCCCATAGTGATTTACAAAATAGATGTTACAATGTATGTTCATGAAATTATTATTTTGTAAAGCATTGAACATTAAAACAATGTTTGTGAACATTTGCAACGACAGAACTTTGTTATTATGTGGAAGGCACCGTAAAAACATGTTGTTGTCGACTGACACAGAGTAAATCAATAAAAGCGACTTCAGTTGGTAGTGTCTTAACAGTTTTTTTTTGTCGTAACAATGTTGGGATCTTGTCTTTCTTCTATTCATTTTAAATCTACGCTTTATTTATGTGTTGCATTGCTGTGGTCACCAAAAACTTAAGAAAATAGTATGTACATATTATTATTTAAAATTTGCTTCATCTTGTTTTTAAGCTCTTGTCGACGGCGTGGTGATTGTGCGCCTGGCTATTGATAAGTACAATGAACGTCCTTTCTTTCTATGCCAATAAAATCTTACCATTCGCATAATTCGTAGAAAGGCCATCAAAGTGGTGAAGGGAAAGCCGCCTTTTTTTTCTAAAGAGTTAAACATTTTGTAAAGATTTTTTTTTAAAAGGAAGTGCGTATTGTTTCTGACTAACTAGACCAAATACTGTTACTCTTGATTTGTTAGGTCTCCTTTGGAGGCGTTCGGGTAGCCATTAGTAAATCTCACCCCTCCTGGCTGAGTCCTTGTTCTTCCACCAGCTGTCCTGGTGAAACTGGAAAGGCTTCCGGGTCACCAATAATCCCTCAATCATCAATATAATCAAATAGTTTTATTTGCCTTTGATTTCCCTTACAGTGCTATTTTCAAGAATATGTATAATAAATAATAAATTAATAAGCCTTTATTGATGTTAGAGTTTAATTTATTTAACTAAACATAAAATGATAACAACAGAGGTAAGAAAACTATAAAATTAACTTATACTAACACATATCTCGGCATTCGGCTTTATCTCCTCTTAACAGCTTGTCTTTCGTCAAAGACCTCCTCTAAGGATTTCCATTTGCTTCTGTCCTTTGCTGTACGTAACGGTTACGTACAGAATATGTATATTATGTATAAAATATTATCCTTGAAAGAAACTTTACTGCAAGATTAAGGTACGAGGAGTATGAGGAATATTGGACGTCGTAACGGGGTCAGATAACCAATGAGGTGAACCGACGATTTGGTTAAAATAGCTGGTAGTGACTGGATGCCAGATGCGAAAGGGAAGAGACAGAAAAGAATGAAGTGCATAATAATATGAAGAGACCTACACATTGAGCATTGGGAGACACAGGCTGGAGAGAGAGAGAGAGAGAGAGAGGAGAGAGAGAGAGTATTATTTATTGTACAGCAAAAAATAAATAAACCATGCGATATATTAAATACAAAAAAAGTACAATTGGCGGTCTTATCGCTAAGAATTATCTCTTCCAGACAACCATCAGGTGGACAAGAATCATTTGGAAACGAATTACGCACGGAAAAGCGATTGTAAGATATTCAGACGAGCACTTTAACTACTAATAATGTTTTAGGCTGTAACATTATTCAGGTAGATTTACTGCGACCAACGAGTGCCTTTCACTCTTTTATTATTGGTTTGGGAGCACGTTTTGATGGGCTCCGTACACTTGTGACGAGAGTTATGTCAATTTGCATATTTTTAGGTCACGTGCGTGCACTGCGGTCGAGAAAATAAAGGGCGATTCAGGAATCGCGTCACTGTTTTAGGGAATTTGTTTCTTTTTATATGTAGTTAGAGTTCTTTTTTTATTGCTTATATTTATTGCTCACGGCCCATCTGGATTGAATTGATTACCGGGGTCCATAGATATCAACAACGTAAGTGCCACCAAGTCTCCTTAAGATGTGTCAGTTTTATAGTACAACGGTTGCAAACCGAAAGGCATTATTACTGCTTTACGGCAGAATAGGCAGGGTAGTAGTAGTAGTAGGAGAATAGCATTTAGCATTTAGAATTAGCAGGGTGAAGTTCCTATCCATGGGGGCTCACAAGACGCCCTACATGGTTTGATTTTTATTACACGATGTTATTCCTTCATCATTGAAATCATTCGTGAAAATATATTAGGTGTGTTCATATTTCATAGATTCATTATTTAAGTCCACGAATACTTCAAAATACACTTTAGAACTGATTTATTGTTCGGTCTTCTAAATCCGAAAATGTTTTTCCTTATTTTTTGCACCCTAAAATAAATGCGAGAGTCTATACGGACAATTAATTTCATCCTAACCCGTCCTTACATGAGTAAACATAAGTCCCTTTCTAAATCAGTCCCTACACGGTCGACAGGCGTCTTTAAGAATTTTATCATCACAATTCTTTATTTTAGCTTATTTTTTTCAAATAAAACAGACATATTTTTTGTGGCCACTTTTTAGTTACGTTGTTTTGATGCAGCCATTTTGTTACTGCTGTAGGCCAATTGTGTGCTCCAACATCAATTATAAGTGCTTATAAGCATTTCTAATTAATTTTTAATTATTTCGTTATCCAATATAATCGGTTGCTCTCAAAAGATAATATAATTATCTATATACTAATACGTGAAGAAAAAACTTTGTATCCCTTTTTACGAAAATTGCGCGGACGGACGAGTATGAAATTTCCCACACTTATAAAGAATATAGAGAAGGAGTGCAGAATGTAAATTTTTTTTTTAATTATGCTTAAAAATACATTAAATCAATAAAAAAAATACTACACACACACTACCATGTATTTGAAGCACACACGCATGCATACTATTTATTTATTGTCAAACTTTTGTTCTTGACGTCTGTGGTCAAATTTCGACTACTGCGGGACCACTAGTTATTGAAAAAAACATGATATTTTATGACTGGAAATTATTACTCCTGTAATATTCATATTTACTTGTGTTTAATTAGTATTTTTACTACGTTTTTACCGTATTCATTTTTTATTTCATTTTAATATCACTTATGTTGTCGCCCCCGATTCCACTGAAAACCAACACTGATTGTCCACGTGCAGACAAAATCAAGGTGCAGTAAAGAACGAGAAATATGTTAACTTTCGTTAACTACAGTTTTTCTATTCCATTAAAGAAATAAACAGCTATTAGAAGCCAATATATGTGATGAAATGTAACAAGCATTTCTTCGAGTGTTTTGTAAGGGTACTTACTAGCAGAGAAATCGAAATCATGTTACTACGGTAAGAGTACCAACAAAGCTCAATAAACTAGAGTTTGCTCTTGAAAAATAAACAAGTTACACTACAAAAGTACTACAAGCGTCTAAGGTATTTTTGACTTATCTATACTAATATTATAAAGCTGAAGAGTTTGTTTGTTTGTTTGAACGCGCTAATCTCAGGAACTACTGGTCCGATTTGAAAAATTCTTTCAGTGTTAGATAGCCCATTTATTGAGGAAGGCTATATAACATCACGCTAAGACCAATACAAGTGGAGCACCAATAAATAATATTTCAAAATAGGCGTTTAAATAGCTCCTTAACATTCTCTTCTTTTCTTTTTCTCCACCTTATCCCACTAGGTGGGGCGGCACAGCTAATTTTTCTCTTCCATTCTCTTCTATCAGCCGTCATCTCAACACTCACTCCTCTTTCTCTCATATCGTCATTCACGCACTCCATCCATGTCTTCTTCGGTCGACCTCTTCCCCCTCTACCTTGCACTACCATTTCCATACATCTCCTTCCATACAGCTTCTTAACATTCTATAATTCAAAAATATTTTCTCTTTCTACGTAAATGAAGCGGGGGGTAAAATTTTGCGTTATGCCAAAGTAACTATTCCACGCGAACGGAGTCGCGGGCAAAAGCTTGTATAAAACATAAAAAAATGCGTTAAAACTCCCCCAACAATCATACGTTTATTTTCTTATACTCATTTCAAGCTGCCTTAAATTGAATTTGAAAGGCTGGGCAGACAATTGCGTAACCCTTCGACCCTTGAGAAGCTTTTGTATCATTCCCTTAACATTTACTAGACCTTCAACTTCTGTATTCACAACCAGTATATTCAGATTCATTAAATTTCTTTTTATTTTTCTTTAACATTGCAGTGATATTACTGTTCCTTGTAACATGTCGTTTCTATTCATTTTAACCATGTAAATGTAATGTATAATATGTATCTGTGTATTTAATTTTATTTAATGTAAAAAGACAATGATGTAGACAATATTAGTTAACACCTCCACACTGTAGATAATTTCCATTTCTTTTATGGAGAGTTACATATCGTCTCATCTGTATAGTTAATTATGCGTAACAGCTCTCTAAAAGATACTTAAAAGCTAGCTATAATAATAACAATAATAATAAC